TCTTTCCTCCAGTGAGGATGGTTGGCTCCTTTGTCAAAGATGAGGTGGCTGAGTATGTCTGGAGTTGTTTCTGCATCTTCTAATCTGTTCCAGTGATCTTCAGGTCTGTTTCTTTGCCAGTACCATGCTGTTTTTATCACAGTAGCTTTGTAGTATAGTTTCCAGTTGGGGATTGTAATACCCCCTGCCATGTCTCTGTTGCCTAGAATTTCATTTTGCTATTCTAGGTCTCTTCTGCTTCCAGATGAATTTTTGGATTGTTTTCTCTAGTTCTGTTAAATATATTGATGGAATTTCAATCGGTATTGCATTAAATCTATATAGTAGTTTTGGAAGTATGGCCATTTTCACTATATTGATTTTTCCTATCCAGGAACAGGAACAAGGGATGTCTTTCCATTTTCTTGTATCCTCCTTGATCTCCTTTTTCAGAGTGCTGTAGTTTTCAGTGTAGAGATCTTTTGTTTCCTTTGTTAGATTGATTCCTAAATATTTCACTTTTTTGGACACTGTTGTAAAAGGAATTATTTCCCTACTTTCTCTCTGAGTCTATTATTTGTATGTAAAAACAGTGTTGTTTTTTGAGTGTTGACCTTATATCCAGCTACTCTACTGAATCTGTCAGTTAACTCAAGAAGTCTTTTGGCAGAGTATTTGGGGTCTTCTATTTAAAATATCATATCATCAGCAAATAATGACAGTGTAAATTCTTCCTTTCCTATCTTTATTACTTTTATTTCTTTCTCTTTTCTAATTGCTGTGGCCAATGTTCCCAGAACAGTATTGAACAGGAGTGGTAATAGTGGGCATCCTTGTCTTCTTCCAGATTTTAGTGTGAAAGTTTTCAGTTTTTGACCATTTAGTATGATGGTGGCTGTTGGTTTTTCAAAGATAGCCTCAATCAGGTTGAGGTAAAGACCTTCTATTACAATTTTCTGTAGGGTTTTTATCATGAATGGGTGTCGGTTTTGTTGAATGCCTTTTCTGTGTCTATTGAGATGATCATATGGTTTTTGTCCTTGACTCTGTTAATATACTGTATTACATTTATTGATTTACAAATGTTGAACCATCCTTGCATCCCTGGAATAAATCCAACTTGGTCAGGGTATATGATCTTCTTGATGATCCTTTGTATTCTGTTTGCCAGTATCTTGTTGAGGATTTTTGCATCTATGTTCATTAGGGAGATTGGCCTGTAGTTCT